CATCAGTCACACTCAGGAAGTCATGTTGATTTTGAACTTGTCGTAGAGTCTGTGGCACACCCAGGACTGTCAGTTTGTTTTGGTGTTTATTCCAGATAAGAATTGAAAACGGGTTTACCGATCATTGCACGGACGCAACAAAGCACTACACTACCACTATAGATGACCGTCGGTACTATACGACTCTCCAGCGTCCCTCTATGTGTTGTATCGTCTCGTCAGCCAGTCAGCCGCTAATATGTCGGATCAGTGATTGGATAGTCTACAAATAAAAACTATAAAAGTCGATACATTAACAATTCTCCGGATTAGATTAACTAGTGATGTAAGCTGTTATTCTCAGATCAGGTAATATATCATTAAGCTGGGAATTGAATGCAGCAATTAATGTTACAGTTAGGGAATTGTGTTCTTGGGGGCGCTATTCAAGTCATTCGAAGAGGGGTCTGCGTTCAACTTAAGACAACTTCTCCACGACTGGCCTCTATAAAAGAAATGTAAACAAAATAAAGTTACGTATGTACCTATGATTTGAAAGTCTGAGTATATGTTTCTGGTGAAATTAGACTTTTCAAACTGTATTTATTAGCTCGGATGAAGTGTAATACTATTAGAAAACTACAATTTCAACAATTCCAATAAGAACTGTTCGTTTCGCGTGATTCTATTTACAGCTACTTACTCTGATGGGGGCGCTCTTTTTCAGACTACTCAATATCGATTTTCAAACAAAGCCAGGGGCAAAAGTAACGTGAGACCACTCAAAAGAAACTGTTGCCAATAAGATCTTTGTTTAGCATGGTTCCCGCCTACGGCATCCGGCAGATGATGAAAACGCTCCGTGAATTGGCGGATTTACCATACTGACCTCAGTAGCTACGTAGCGGCGCCAGACATCCTCGAACGGAAGCGCTTCCCCGATCATCGATTCTTGAAATATTCAATTTTATAAAACGGTTTTCATCTTCTATTATTTCCATGTGTATCACATTTGCCGCATCTTCCACTCAGATTGGTTCTACTATTGTCTGGTCTCAGCGAACAACGGCCATACCTGACTGATAGAACAGATGCCATAGTACAGTATACACAGACAATTGCAGGTCATTTGGGGTTACGGAATTATAAAGTTTTTGTATATCAATAAAATGTAGAAATCCCCTTATTTAAATCTTACTCGGCCATTAATACGACGTTTCTGCAGAATTCAAGCTCGCCAGGGGGAGCATATCATAATCATTACGACATCAACTTATAAAACCGGATGTAGGTAAATTTTACGGTTGCCTGGGGGGTCGTGTAAATCCCCTCAATTGAACAGACGTGTTGTTGATTGATAGTTTGATTGGTAGATTCTAACGAGTGCGTAAATTGGCGGAATGGCTGATTTACATGTATATAGTTTGCCCTCCGGCTATTTACCTACACCATCGGTGGGTGGCAAGACATGCCGGTAACGTGCCGGCCCATCGCCAGCTAATACTCCGTATTAGTAGTTGTCTGTATAATCTACATAATTCAGTATTATTACACATTTCAAGTAGATGTACCTCTCTGTTGACCCATGACTGGGTAGATTTGAGGAAAACTCCTTGATCTGACGATTTGAATCCCTGTGCCCGGATTTTTTTTTCTGGAGGAGAGAGACCGGGGTATGGAGAAGTGGGGTTAGGGGTGCGGCAATCATAAGCGTTTGGTTGGGAACGGCATCTCATTCTCTGAGTCACAACGATGGTGGCGTATTACAGTGCTTCCGGAAATAATGGTCGAGTACTTGTACACTTCAACCTCGCATACAGTCCTCAGCGTTATCATACAACGAAAATACAATGTAGAAAACCACAATAAGACACCTGTAATACATACGTTACATTGATGACTTGCTTTAATATATTCTTCTATTCTTCTTTTACCTCGACAAAATATACATACATATCATATCAAATCACAGCCTAACGTTCATCACTTCCGGGTCTGAATTTGGTCGTGGTTGCCATTGAACTTCTTCAGATCAAAGACCGTGACGTCATTGTGGTTGTTGAGGGACGAGTCGTGATTTAGGTATGTTCCATTTTATTGGATACTATCATCGTGACGCTGGAAATCTAAAGGCCAATTAACCTCACACAATGACGTTATTTTGAAATTCCTAGTGTGCCCCGTATTAGTGGTTGTTAACTGATTTCTACCACTTGTGAACCCTGTCTCATTACTCAATCGAGATTATATCTGTTAGGTTTAGAACCACCTAATATCCGATATCGTGTAATTATCATACCTAATTAACCCACACCCATGCACCAAAATAAGTTGTTGGCCATAGTACGATTAGTTCACCGCG